TTGTGAAGTTATTGTGTGATGTTTCTTCAAGTTGTTGTGTGACGTTTCCTCAAGTTGTTGTGTGACATTTTGTGAAGTTATTGTGTGATGTTTCCTCAAGTTATTGTGTGACGTTTCCTCAAGTTGTTGTGTGACATTTTGTGAAGTTATTGTGTGACGTTTTGTGAAGTTATTGTGTGATATTTTGTGAAGTTATTGTGTGACGTTTTGTGAAGTTATTGTGTGACGTTTTGTGAAGTTATTGTGTGAAGTTTTGTGAAGTTATTGTGTGACGTTTTGTGAAGTTATTGTGTGAAGTTTTGTGAAGTTATTGTGTGACGTTTTCTGAAGTTAATGTCTCGTAAAGCTGAAAATGTTTTGTGAAGTTGATGCGTGACATTTTGTAAAGATGATGTTAAATGTTTTTTGAAGTTGATGGTAGATGTGTGTGAAGCTTGTGTTTTATCATTGGTAATGCTGATTTCAAATGTTTGGGAAAATTGATGTGATTTGCTCCTTTTTTCCCTTTCAGACACCTGTCATCCTTCTCCTCCTCCTCCTCCTTCTTTTTGTATGTTACTTTCCAGCAACACCTCTAATTTCGGCACTTAATTACGTTCCCTATTTTTGTATTCTAAGTGCTGTAAAACTCTTTTACTGAAACTAAAACTAACTTTGTTTGTTGCTTTTTAGTAACGCCTCTAACTTTTGGCTCTAACGTGACCTATTTGTGTTGCTAGTGCTGTAAATCTCTTGGTAAGACCAAACACCAATCTTCTGCTCTTGCATGACTTATTAGTGTTGCATGTGCCGTAAAACTGTTTCTAAAACAAGCCTTCCGTCTCTGAGCAGGTGCTGTGCTGTAAAACTTGAACCGTCTGTCTGTCTGTCTGTCTGTCTGTCTGTCTGTCTGTCTGTCTGTCTCTATAACCAGGTGCTGTGCTGTAACCATCTATCTATCTATCTGTCTACCTGTCCGTCTGTCTGTCACCAGGTGTTGTGTTGTAACCATCTGTCTATCTGTCTGTCCATCTGTCTGTCACCAGGTGTTGTGTTGTAACCATCTGTCTATCTGTCTGTCCATCTGTCTGTCACCAGGTGTTGTGCTGTAACCATCTGTCTATCTGTCTGTCCATCTGTCTGTCACCAGGTGT